ATAATTAAAAAAAATGAGATGGGTAGTTTCTTTTATTTTCATCTTTTTCAAAGATTTGGCAGATGAAAGAAAAGATAAGTCAGATTAACTCAGGAATTTTCAAATGAACAAGTCACTTTGGATCACTCCCAAAGCTACAATTAATTATTCCCAAAAAAATTCTACAGACATCTGTAGAACTACCCTAGATTGTATATTCTGATTATGGTGCCCTAAGATATATTGATGCTTTAATATCACTCATTGCATTTTAATATTGGACAGAATCATTTTTTTTCTCTGTGTTGGAAGCTTGAAAGAACTACAACTGGTGTTGCAGTTCTGAAAGAAAAGAAGAAGCTTAATGTTGTTAAACAGTGATGGAATAGAATGTAAAAGGAAATTAAACATTGGTCAATAATTCTACAATTATATAACATGGAGAAATTTTGCCAGAAAAAACAACGTTCTTGGAGGAGCAGAAACTGGTGTTTAAAATCATATTCAACTGGACATTACCTTCCATTTTATTCCTTTCTTGTTATATAAAATGTGTTTGCATGATAAGTGTGTATTTCATACATGTTCTTTATCTTTGCACCATGGCATACTTATATGGCATGGGCAAAGAAGGTCAAATTAATCAAGACTATATAGTACCTAAAGTCTAGATTATAGTAGCTAAGGTTAACATTTCATTTATCAATAAATATAGTCTTATTTCCATGTTCTTTTAAAAAAATATATATTCTTAGTCAATATCAAATAGTTGTTTTCGATAAATATATCATAGATTAAAAAGTATTTCTAGATAGTTTATATTCAAAAGGGCAAAATTATGAAGAATAGAGCTGAATAAGTAATAGTCTCTCAGCAGAATCATATCATGAGTGTTTAAATTGTCAAGAATAAAAATGATAACATATAATTTAGTGGTACATTAAGAATGTCCACACACTTGGGAATAAGCTGTTAGACACCATGAAATTTATTATTGAGGAAATACAGGAATGCGTAGTAAATTTTATAAAGTGAATTATAACCTGTAATATGATGATTTAGTAGCTACTTATAATGTATTCTTAAGAAAATATTTTTCTCCTACAAAATGCATAGTTTAAAAGGCTAAAGCTTGTTAAATTATATCAGCCTTGTGCAAAAAGTATATACTGGAATGTTATCTTTATACAGTAATACTTGATAAATTTGCCTAGTAGTTATTCAACTAAAAATAGATATAGATAAAAATGGTTCAATGCTATGCATATGGCTTTTTCCTATTCTGAGAAACACTCTGGATATACTTGTGTGTGAGTGCCCGTGCGTGTACATATATCTATATCTATCATTTTAATTAAAATGTTTTAATTTAGTTTAACCTAATTTTTGTTTTAGTTCTAGATTAGTGACACAATTAGATTGGCTCTTTATCTCTCTTAGATTAGTGTGGCAGCCAATCATTTGTGTTTGTGCATAATTAATTAAGCTTCCTACCTTAATGATAATGCTGAAAGTGTGCTAGACCCCTTCATCTTTTGACTTTCCATTGTCTTCCTCATTCTCATTTTCTCTCTCTCTCTCATTTTTTCTCTCTCTGTCTCTCTCTCTCTGTGTCTCTCTCATGTTTTACATGACTAAGGAATTAAATCATCATCTTTTCATCACTGTGGTCATACTTTCACTCAATAGAGTCTGTACTTTTATGTTTAGGAAGTAAAGTGCTTACAACTTCTTTCTCTCTCTCTCTCCTGTAGTTACACAGTAAGGATTTTTGAATGTATAATGTCATCTAAGGTAAGCTTTCATATGGTCTCTGCATATGAAGCTTATTTCTGTTGTCATGTCATACAAAACCTACCAAAGTATGGCATAATTTTCATTATGTCATTTAATGAAAATGGGGTAGTAAAATCAATGTAGCAACGGACTGACTATTTGTATTGTGTTCTTAATTAACAACTCTCGCTGAATCTGCTGAATAAATGCTTGTGATAGCAGCTCCCGCTATGATGCCAACACATACTAACAAGCTATAGAGGGGGTGATAAAGCATGAACCAGGTTAACAGCTTACTATACATAAATAAGCATAAATCCACAGCATTTGAACATCTAATGCCAGTTATTTGCCTCAAGGTTGAGGCAGCTAGGAAGTAATGCTATTTAATTATACCAAACTCTTACCTCCTTTTCTTGAAAATGTACACTGCAGCAACTTTAAGAAACTAGTTTAAAAGCATGCCAGATTTTGTGTGTCACAGCATAAAAAGGTGAAAGAAAGAAAGAAAGAAAGAAAGAAAGAAAGAAAGAAAGAAAGAAAGAAAGAAAGAAAACTTTGACAGCATATTTAATTGCTCTAAGCTAAATCAAGTAGTTTTGTTTTAGCTGGGTTGTGCACATAATTGTCATTTGCATTTTTATTTGCTTGAATGTGCAAAATATGTATCTCTGTGACAGTAAATCATAAAATATAATCCATAGAGTTTTGAAAGAGTTTTGCATTTGAGTTTAATGGTACAAACATTCAAAGGTAAGTTCTTTATAAAAGGGCATGTTTTTTTTCTCTCTCTCTCTCTAGCCAAGGCTGTCTTTAAAAAAGCATCTCAGTGTTTGTTTTTTAACTATTGTTACTTCATTGAATCTCAACAAGCTAAGGTAACTTTTTGGGAATTTAGACGATTAGAAAGGCTTAGAACCGTGTACAGAATTCTCATGATACCAACATTGCTAAACAATCCAAAAAAAGAGCATGAAGTCACTATATTGCACTGGTTTGGCACCTTATGCATATTCTTACATTATTGGTCTGGTAGGTTATATTAACTCCCACTGCAACATTATAATATCAGTCATTCCCATCTAGATAGCTTGGTTTCAATCAGTGACAAATGTGTAGTGTGGTGAAGATATTGATAAGGAGATCATTGTATGCAGTAATTTCATACTCAGGGGCACACATGAAAAGAAGGAGGTCATCAGCATCAAAATGGCTGGCACAGATGGGCAATCAAAATCCCACCTCTTTTTATGTGTGTATGGTGCATGTGATGCATGTTAAAAAGGACTGGGGCTTTGACTGCCCAGTTGCACCAGCCAGTTTGATGATGTTGACCCTCCCCTAATTATAGCTCAGTGTAACACGGTTACTGGGAATGTAGTAGCAAAAACAATCACATGGTTAAAATGTAATAAAAGCTTAATATCATTGTTTACAGAAGAAAAGTGTTGGGTTCCCCTTGGTATTTTCCTTTTGAATATTTTTGATGCTGTAACAGATATTATTTTGGATGACTTTCACTATGTGGACCCCCAGCATCCTGCTGAGTCTCCTTTCTTCTCCTTCTCCCACTTCTTTATTCCAATAATTAGAATATGGATAGGCAACTTCACTTCAAAGCTTCTTCACCATATTTGGCTTGGAGAATTTATGAAGACTCACATTATGAGTCTTTGATGGGTATTGACAACTTTACAGCCACAACAAGAATAACTTGTCATTTTTGGCAGCAACTTCATGCTGGATCCATCAAATCCCCATCCATTGGACAGTGAAAATGGTCACTGGAACATAGAATTCCTGACCTATCATTCTTGGGAGAATTTATTTCATTCACACGCAAAGAAAAAAAAGTGGCAACCGGAGAGCAATCCTGTCTAAAAATTCTAAATCTATTTACACTAAAGGAAGCTCTGTTAAAAGATGGCATATTTCTCCTTTTGTAATTGCACAAATTTGCGCAGGTATAAAGATCAAGTCTATCTTTTGGTTGTTTTCATAATTGTTTTGTCCTCAGGTGGTCTTTCGTTCTTCCGACTACTACTACAAGGGGTACCTCCGCATATTGCCCAGTCCTATATGAAAGAAATAGAAGCAAGCAAGTTTGGAAAAAAATAAATTCTGGCCCCAGTGCTTCTCTGCTTCTGCACCAGAAACTGCTAGCTACTCCACAGCCTCTCATTTCTACCGTGATCCTCCTAAATCATATATTGCCCCTTCCGTCTTGCTCCTGTTGCTGGTGGAAAGAAAAACTCACGCATGGATTGCTTTTTTTTTTTTTTTGAAGTTTAATGAAATAAGCTGATGCTTACCTGCATTTTGTATCATTGTGTATTTCTGTTTCCTTCTCTTTGCCCTCTCTTTTTTAATGCAAAAAAAAAAAAGACAAGCTAAAGAAATATGCATGAGAGCTCATTTATAGTTTCTAATTTATATGGCTAGATACTTTTTTTGTGAAACGTAGATGCTGCCATACCCAATAACAATGCAATCAAAACATACCTCTTTTGATAACCAAATAACAAATTATAGGTGGACATGTTTCCTGTGTACACGATTTACAGCAGTTAACCATTAATTGAGCTGAATGCATCTCAATTTAAAAGAGTTTTTTTTTCTCTGTTGTTCATTTGTAAATCCCATTTCTTTGAGCTACTACAGGGGATTTTTTTTTGGTGATGTACAATAAAGCTGAAGTGTTTATGACCTAGTCACATATTTGGGGTTCTTATGCTTATTTTATGTTACACTATCACTGTTATTTTGTTTTCATCATGTCTTGGCTTTTTGTTTGCAGTTACAAACACTGGATTATGGGCTGGGATGTAGATACACTCACATATATTCTTATCCATTACATTAGTCCATTTGGGGGTAAGCACTGTTGTATAAAGCACATAAGAAAGAAAAATTAAAGGCATCATATTAGAAAAAGAAATATCATATAAGTGAATCTAGTTTGCGCCAACTCTATTCATTATACCACTTCATACATCTTTTGCAAATTTTATCCAAACACAACTTTCTTAGTCTTCTCCTCTCAATACATTCAGTCTTTCCTCATACACTTGTTTGGTGAGTCAGGGCTCACTCTCTCCATGAACACATTTCCTCATCTTCCTGGCCACAAATTTTTGTATCATTTATTCAGCTCTTATTCTTTCTTGTCTTGTTCGCTATACATACTACTTAAGTACCCACTGCATTCAACTTTTGTGTTTTTACACCATGGCAAACTCTCATTTTCATACAATAAAGTGTACAGAAGCTCACTATGGGCAATTTCACTTCTTTACACAAACCTGTAATAATACCTGACAGTACTGATCAATTTAGGCATATTTTGGCCCAAACCTAGTTTTATTCCAAGCATATTCACATTATTCTATTTAAGGCAAGGTCTCAAATAGAATAGAATAGAATAGAATAGAATAGAATAGAATAGAATAGAATAGAATAGAATAGAAAGGGACCTTGGAGGTCTTCTAGTCCAGCTCCCTGCTCAAGCAGGAGATCCTTATACCATTTCAGACAAATGACTGTCCAGTCTCTTCTTAAAAATCTCCAGTGATAGAGTGCCCACGATTTCTGGAGGCAAGCTGTTCCACTGGTTAATTGTCCTCACTACTGGAACTTTTTCCTTAATTCCAGATTGCTTCTTTCTTTGATCAGTTTCCAACCATTGTTTCTTGTCTTGCCCTCTGGTGCTTTGGAGAATAGCTTGGCCCTCTCTTCTTTGTGGCAGCCCCTCAAATATGGGAACTACCTTCCAAGCTAACATTGTTTCCTATATCCCACCGACTAGTAGGTATATGCAGTGTATATACCACAGTGCTAGGCAAGAGACATAATTTCAGAATGTACCTGGAAGTTTGGAACAGAGTACTATATAACTATGTAGTATCTGAAGCCTGATGGAGGCCTCAGACACAACCTGTTTCCCATTTGTTATACTTCTCTTACGTCAGTCCCCAGGAAGATCAAAACCATTTCACAGATTCTTAATGAGACTCTGCCTACTTACCTAACAACCCTATTCAGATTAGATGAGAAATTAAACCACCCTGGAGGACAAATACATGGTTTCTCCTAACCAACTTGCTCAGAGGGAAGCAGCTATTTGGATAAGCAGTAAAATATTTCAAATTAAAAAGATAAGTCCATATGCCATGACTCAATTTCCAAATAACTCCACCTGGATGACTGAGAATCTTCATTGACAGATTAATACAGTATATGTAAGACACATATTGACAATTTCTAGCACAACAGCTTATACATATTAATGGAGTTACCAACAATTACTTCTTTTGAAGCATTTCATGTAGAGTTATCACCTATTCACATAATTCCAAGCATGTTTTATACAAAAATACCAGTGGAATTAAGCTCAGTGGAATTTCTTGATTTCAAGGCTTAAGGCTGTATGCATAGTAATTGTTTTAATGTATTAGTAATTACATCTGGAATTTAAAATAATATAGGAGTGCCTAAAAGACACACCACAACCCTTTAGGTCAATGGATACAAAACCAACTTTAATTCTTCACTTTATGAATGGTTACTGCAAGCTCATACGGTACCTTCTGAACTCGAATGCAGTATTTTGAAGGAAAGTTATGCTGATTGACTTCTTTATTTTCTGTCAAACAGGCCGAGGCAGAGGAACGATAGTCAAACCTCACATGCAAGGCTATTAGGCCTAAGCAGATCAAAATGTATTTGAATTTTTTGTATTATGGCTATCAAGTAATGGTTGCGTGAATTTTTGCTGCCCAGATCTGATAATCTTAGTATGTATAGCTGATTCAGACTTCAGAGAATGCTCTCTAAGTATCCTCTGAAATATGTTTTGCATATGCATTGTTCAAAGTAATAAAATTTCCCTCTTCTTCAGGAAAAACAGATGTTTAGGAGCACTTTTCTGCAAAAATATACACAAAGAACACGGACATCCTAGAATGTTATAGTTCAGGACAACATGGACATACAAAACACCCAGCTCAGGGGACTTGCTTACAGCAGGAGTTTCAAAGACGTAAACATGATACAACTGAAAAGTGCTTTATTGCAGATAAGAAAAGGCCACTTATACACAAATATTCTGCCCTGTGCAGAACACAGAAATCAAATTTTCTAATATGTATGTTCCAGGATTTAAATACCAGGGGTGTTTAAATCAATGGCCTTCTGGTCATTCTTTTCCCAGCCAAATCTCTTAAACATAGACATCTGTTCAATGTTTATATATTGTTCTGTCTAGAGTTTGGACAGGTAATTCATTGGTTACACCTCACTCAGTTTTATAATCATCAGAGATGCTGTGCACCATCCCCCAGTACAGTAGCATTTCACAAGTAATTCAGGTACCTTCTACTGTATATTCTGTATTTAAAAATCAGACATAAAAACAGGCGAAAGAAAACAAAGATTTTTGAGAAGGCAAAAAAGCTTAGAGATGGATTGGAGCTGATGTTGTAGGTATTGTCAGTGGAGTAACCATCAGAATCATGAGAATTTAGAAGCAGAGATGAGTGATTAATATCCTTACTGATTAAAGTTCTCCAGAAGCAGCAATACAGATGGATAATTATCTTTAGCATTTATTCTATACTTTCTCTTATATGTGACAAGTTTCCGAAGTTTCCTACCATTTATATACAAGTGCAGCAACTCTGTACATTAAAACATACGAACACAAATCAAAACTCTGATTATGAAATGTACATAATAATGCTTAATTCAAGCTGTTATAATCACAGTATTAGATGTAGAAAAAGGATTAAATAGAGAAATTACTTCCTAATGTGCCTGGGTCAACTATTTTCCAATGCAAGGCTTATATTGAAAAGTTGTGGAAAATCAGCTGCCAGAAAAGCCAACACAGTGCTAGGCTACATTAACAGAGGGATAGAATCAAGATCACGTGAAGTGTTAATACCACTGGTAAGGCCACACTTGGAATACTGCATCCAGTTTTGGTCACCACGATGTAAAAAAGATATTGAGACTCTAGAAAGGGTACAGAGAAGAGCAACAAAGATTATTAGGGGACTGGAGGCTAAAACATACAAGGAACGGTTGCTGGAATTGGATATGTCTAGTTTAATGAAGAAAAGGATGAGGGCGGACATGATACCAGTGTTCCAATATCTCAAGGGCTGCCACAAAGAAGAGGAAGTCAAGCTATTTTCCAAAGCGCCTGAAGGCAGGACAAGAAGCAATGGATGGAAACTAACCAAAGAGAGAAGCAACCTAGAACTAAGGAGAAACTTCCTGACAGTTAGAACAATTAGCCAGTGGAACAACCTGCCTCCAGAAGTGGTGAATGCTCCAACACTGGAAGTTTTTAAGAAGAAACTGGACAGCCATTTGTCCAAAATGGTATAGGGTTACCTGCCTGAGCAGGTGGTTGGACTTGATGACCTCCAAGGTCCCTTCCCACTTTCCACTTTATGGATCATCGCACAGTCAGCCAGATGTTCAGACTGGATTTGGCATTTTGTCTACCTATTGAGTCCTTACCAAGAACCTGGGATAGGCAGATGTGGATGTTTGATGGTATTACAGATATCATCGCAAGATGGAAGCAGTTCCTAGTAAGGCCGCCTTTTGCTATTGACTAATGGCAAATTTGTCAATGCCAATGGTGTTCAAGTGGTGCTCCAGTTGTTCTGGGATTGCACCCAAGGCGCCTATTACTATTGGTGGTATTATTATTATAATATACAGGCAAGACAAACATGTTGATATCAGCCTTCCTTCAGCTTTGTGCTTTCTAGATATCCTATAATTGCTAATCTGCATGGGCAATGATCCAGGATGGAGGCAAGAGAAAGCTGCTATCACAAACGTGAGCACAGTTTAGTACCATGCACACTCTTCTATGTTAAAATATGGTTGTGGTTCAGTGTACTGTTCATATCCAAGTAACTGGGTTCAATTTTTTTTTAAAAAAAGTGGTTTGATTAACGACATATTATGTGACTGCAGCCAAAATTATAGCATACAACGTTTGTCTGTGCATCAACCCCCAGTACAGTCGATATAGGTTTGTCTGTGCATGGAAATGTTCCTACATGGCGATCGCTGAATTGGCGAGACCTGCATAGTCCTGATTTGCTTAACCTTGGTTTGCTCAAACTAATCTTCTGAATTTGCCCAGTGAGCTAATTCACACAGCACAGATAAATAAAGACGAAACGCAGCCTTCGGCATCACCTCAGAATCAACGCTGGCCTGATGCTCACCGACTGCCTGAGGATGACCCCACCTTCTCCAGACCAGACGAGGGGCGAAGAAGAAACGGAAATAGCGGATTCCTCCAATTGCCTGCACTAGCTCGACGGCGAAGGAAAGGCAGCTGTTGGCAAAAAACAAGTCCGCAGGAGAGAATAGACCACTAGAATAATAACTTTATTGTCACTTTAAATGTACACTAATCAGCACATATTAAAATATGATTTCGTTGCATACAGGGTAAGCACCTCCAATATACACTGCATAAACCTGACCCCCAAAAAATGTGCATATACTCACATACACACACACACGTGACCCAGAGAAACAACAGTCTAGTTCGGATGTATACATATACATGGCGAGAAAAAGGAATCTTGCGAGTTTACCAGACGAGTGACATAAGGAACAAAACTGTTACAGAATCGGGTAGTCTGGTAATCTAGTAGTCTAGAGAGGGACGGATCCGAGTCCCCAAA